CCCTTATGTCGCGTTCACACCAAAAATCGTACTTAATCTCGGGTACTTTTACCCCCATTTTTAGAGCCAGCTGAGAGAGCGTACTTTCCTGTGGGTGAAAAGTGCCCCAGTGCTGATTGGCTGGGCGAATTGCAAACCACGCCCGTACAACTGTGAAAATGTTGTGTGGAGCAGCCATTGTTTTTCCTCGCTACAAACGGAGAGTAGTTTGTTTTTGAAAGCAGTTATGGCAAGCATCAGGAAATCATCGAAGCGATGGAGTGATGAGGAGGTATCAGCGCTTCTGGACATCTATACCGAGGACGCGACCCAGGGAATGCTGCTGAAGCCAGTACCCAACTCGAAGATGTTCGATCGTTGTTCGAAGAAGTTGCGATGGGAATCTTGCACAGCGCCATGGCATGCCGGCTAAAAATAAAGAAACTCTGGCAGGACTACAAACAAATTAAAGACTGGAATAATAAAAGTGATAACGACCGGAAGACCAGTAAATGGTACGACCGCTTGGATGCTTTGCTAAGCCACAGACCTTCATTCTCCGGTACAGCATCGAGCCTTGAGTCGGGCAGTATGGTATTGGAGGCCGCTCCAACGGCGGATTTAGCGGCGGACCACGACGAAGGTAAAAGCAACTACATGCACTGGGGTTTTAATCTGCACAATAATGGTCTCAGATGTACTTTTATTTGCTCAGTAGATCAAGCTAGCCATGCTAGGCTGAACTAGCTAACACTGGCCCCGAGCTGGCTAATAACATCTAGCTAGCTAGATATTCTCGGCCGCTATGAAAACGTTTTGACTTGTGAATAACTGTGCAGTGTTTCTGTAATTTGCTTCACTAACTCATGGCACTAATCGTGTGTTTCAGGCGAGGAAAATCATCAACTCTCGGGATTGGAAACAAGCAAGCTTTGTCTTGAAGATCACAGCGCTTGCTCGTCTCCCTTACCAGCAACCAAACGCAAAGGTACACACACTGTAACTTTGTCTTGAAAGAACGTTACGCATGGAACTGATGTTCACAATCATGTTTATTTCCTTCTTGGTACAATTATGAAACAGCGTGAAAACGTATTCGCCTAGACCGGCATTTACACATTTTCGCGCCTTTTTACTCTCTCACAAACATTGTAAACATCCGGGCTAGAGGTCACATGACTTCCGGTAAGAAATCGCTTCCACTTGGAGCATATATCGCCACCTACTGTTGATTTATTAAATGTTTTTATTAAATCCTTGTCCTCAGACCAGTGCTTTTGAAGAATTTGAAGATCAGCTTGTTTGCTTCATTTCTTGATTTACTTTCATATATTGACTTGAAATCCATGTCCTTGATGTTGAGTTGTTCCAGTGCAGTTTTCAGAATGAGTCTTTGTCTGTTATAATCCGGGCAGCTAAAAAATACATGATGTATTGTCTCTGGTTGTTGATCTTGTATCTTGCTTATTTTCCCCTCTTATGAAAGCGGACACAGGATGCACTTTTTTCTTTGAGACCGTCCAGGCGTTGGAGGACCGGCGTGCCGTGGTGAATGAGTCGCTGCGTGGAGATCAGATGGTGCAGTTCACCAAGGCCCAGGAAACGGAGGACAAGATGCTCACCTCGATGGAGCGCCAGGCAGAAGTGTTCAAGCAGCAGATGGAGCGCCAGCAGCACCAGGATGAAGTGTGGGCGCTGCGCCATGAGGAAGCGTCGGCGCAGCGTCGGCGCAGCGCGAGCGGCGCCAGGAGCGGCAGGATGAGCGACAAACTGCATTTAATAACAGTTTATTTGGTATAGTTTTTGTAAATACTGACACACGACACACAACTTTGCACTAAGGTGTGTATGCTGCTGAGAATATCCCTACACCTGGGACAGTTTATTTTATATTGTTATTACTGTTATCACTTTATTTTATATACAATGTTTACTGACATGTACAACTGACACTTTAGTTACATTTAAAATATTTCTATTCAATGTTATGTCTTGAGAGTGCAATAAAGAAAACCGACATGGCGATTAAACAGATCCTGTATCAGCCATCCTACGGTGAAACATGGCAATCATGTGTGCTTTCCGTCGGCCAATCCTTTTCCTAAAGCTTTTGAACTGCCTTTGATGCTGAAGAAACTTTGCGATTATAGCATTCGACGTGTGGCGGCTCCGGATTTTTGTCGGACGCCTAATAGGCTCAGGCTCTGGCTCGGGCCGCATTAACGAAGTTACAAAGCTGTATAACATGAGCACAAACAGCACAACTTCAGTCGACTCCATCTCCATCATGTCTGAGGTCGGAAGGTAAACAACAGACAGTATACGCGGGAAGTTTTTCTTCTTCTTCTTCTCTTGTTTTGTAGCGGATTGCAAACAACTTTAAGGTGATTACCGCCACCTACTGTACTCGCCGTGAAGTGGTTTGTGGCCTGCCAGTAAAGCCAAAGCAGAAGAAGAAGAAGTGACGTCAGCGGCTCATTTGCGTAATCTTCCCTCAGGGAAAAGTACTCCGGTGTGAACGCGATCTGTACTAAGTGCCCTGGGGTTAAAAGCGCCGGGGCTCTTATGCCCCTTTCACACCAACGCAACTCCGGTTCAAGCTCCGTGCTAGAGCTTTTCTGGTTCAGAACCGGTTCTTCGGTTTAGCGCCGGCTCTTTTCACACCGCTCAGAGCCCGACTGGTGCGCCGCTGCTGCGTCATGACGTCACCGTTTACGTCGCTGAGTTTCTCCCCAACGCCGGAGCTCACTTCACAACAACAACGGGCCGGGGACTGCGTTGCTTTTAATCATACGAAGCCAGATTAAATTAAATAACGACTTCTCCAACCTTATACTTTTCTCCAGAGTGCCGTGGTTCATTGTTTATTAATGTGTTTCAGCGGCATTTACCGACCGCTGCAGTGCTGGCCGGCTGCTCTTCAACGGGAGTGTATTCTCCCGTTAGCTCCGGGTTAGCTCACACGGCTCTAAAGTATTCACTGTCTGACTGTCACACAAGCAGCTGATACATATCCCCAGTTCCCCTTAAGTGAATGTGTGTCAGTCTGAATTGACGCTGTTTGGTGTCAGTCTGAATTGACGCTGTTTGGCATCACAACGCTGTTATGAAAGTTTCTCTGGTATAACATGGGTGATGTTAGCATAGCAACCGAAGCTAAACTGACTACTTGCTAAGCAGTTTTCTACAGGCACTTTTTACCGACGTATTTTTCATTATGATTCTACTTGTGATAGTCGGACATGACAACCTGTGCAGCCCATGTATTGATTCCATCCGATAGCTGCTATAATAACAAACGTCTGCCTGCTCTCCACAATGATCAATAACAGCGAACGGATGGTCAAAGTAAGGTACAAATAAACAGAATCACACGAAGCCTGGTTAGTGTTGCCTGACTTTATAAAGTGTGTTTTTTTTAACAAGTGTGTGGTTGCGTTCTAGTCACTTTGCTCAGCACTACTGCTTGTTACAACTTTTATTTGCCGTACTCGCCTTAAGTGTTAGCTCAGGTTAATCTCGCCCCCCTCCGACGTAAGCGTGACGTATGCGGTTCTTGCTTCTAGACGGACAACTTTTTGGTGCTCGAAACGAACCGGATTCCGGAGCTATGACGCTGCTCCGCTGCGGTGTGAACAGGAAAACCCGGTGCTTTTCAAGCACCAGCACCGAACCGGCCCTGAAACACCGTTGGTGTGAAAGGGGTATTAGTGCCGGAACTAAGTACAGGAAAGTACTTGGTGTGAACGCGGCTATTGAGTGTGCTTTTGGTCGCCTCAAGAACAGATTTGCTGCACTTAGAAGGCCTATGGACATAAACTTGGTTGACCTGCCCCATGTCATTTACTCCTGCTTTGTCCTCCACAATGTTTGTGAGGCCAGTAAGGAGGCTGTGGATGATCAGTCTGTGTTGGGAACAATTCAAGCTGAAAGGGATTTACAGCCTCCCACACAGAGCAATAGGTATCTCACTGACTGTAATGAGGGGGAGGGAAAGAGAGTGAGGAGAGTGCTTACGGCTTACATTGACCCTTAGGACTACATAAAAGACAGACTGTATTTATTTTTTTTGGAAGGTTACTGTGTTAAGATCTGATAAACAGTCTTTGTTACATTCACTGTGCAGCTCCTTCAGTGACCATTTTTTTTTTTTTTACTTAGTACTTCTTAATGTATGTAACTTTAGCAACAAAATATGTGATTCTCCAATGTTCAAAGTGTGAAATTAAAAATAAAATTGCCTGCAACCACTTCCAGACTTTCTTTGAACTTAAAGTGCAACATGTGACATTTCCGATATTTGACACTAGGGGGGGTTATTTATCAGAAATATAGTATATATATGTCTTAATTATCATATGTATATTTATACTTTCCCATAAGGAACCAACGTGGCACGGTGTCACATGAACTTTAATGTTCTGTAAAGTTACACTGATGTTCCATCCTGACTTTCACAGGAAACCCGGAGTGACATATATGCACGATTAGAAATATGATTATGATCTGCTCAGTTAATTTAGCTGATTCAATTACATTTAGATAATATATCCTTTATTCTTCAGTTCAAACAATGTTCTAACCTATTTAAACCAAAAAAGCATCCTCATTATTGAAGTTATGAGTTATATGACACTAGGGGGGGGGTTATTTATCAGAAATATGGTCTATATATGTCTTAATTATGTTCTCAATGTTCCCAAAAGTAGAAACGGGTCCGGGTTCTTATGGGTTAAACAACTGGCTTACTACGCCACAAACTGAAGCTCACTGCTTTATCAGTCAACTTGGCCAGTAATAGATATCTCACTGACTGTAATGAGGGAAAGACAGTGAAGAGTGCTTGCGGAGTACATAGACATGAGAGACAAGACTGTTATTTTGCAATGTTTTTTATTAAGAACAGTTGCAAGAGCTATAATAATATATATATATATACATTTGTGGAATAAAAAGTGAAATGCTTTCAGTCCACATGTTCACAGTGCAACAAGGAATAGAACACCTTGACTGGCAACAAAAAATATTCACTGGAATAAAAGTTAAAAACACTTCCAGACTTTCTTTATATATATATAAAGTGCAACAAAAACTGAAGCTCTGTGCTTTAACAGTCCTCATGTTCACAGTACAACAAGGAATAGAACACCTTGACTGGCAACAAAAAATATTCACTGGAATAAAAAGTTAAATTTGCTGCACCCACTTCCAGACTTTCTTTATATATATATAAAGTGCAACAAAAACTGAAGCTCTGTGCTTCAACAGTCCTCTTCAAAGAGTGACTGCCTGTATGAATACTGAGATGGTTGCCGTGGGGGGTCAGGGGTCCTCGTGTGCCGGTGTGGTGCAGAGGGGTGTGGTGCAGAGGGGCTTGGTGTGTAGGCAGGCTGTGGCCTTCTATACAGGTACGATGACTGTTCCGGTAATTGTCCACCGCTGCTGCTGTGGGGTTGCGCATGCATGAATTCCCTCATCAGGGAAAAGCCCTCCCGAATATTTTCATTAATCAGAACAAAGCTTTCTGCGTTGCGGGTGGATGTTTTCTGATTTTGCTCCATCAGCTCCACCATCCTCCTTTTTAGTTTCAGGTCTTCCTGCACGGCATGGTCAACTGGAAGTTTTTTTTTCAAGCGGTCACTTCTGTGGCCGTTCAGCTGCACCTTGAATAAACCAGAGCATTTTTTTATTATTACACAATAGGACCATAGCCACCAGATCACATAACACCAAGGCATGTTGTGCAATAGCTTCTACTTTTACAAATACAACAGCTCTCTATACATTCTACTTTTACAAAGCTTAAACGTGTTCAGTTTTTCTGTGGAAGGTACTGTATCGTAGTATGTAGCAAGTCCGTTAAGCTTGAAATCATGAACATACCTGGAGCAGATTCCTGCGATGCTGTACAACTGCAGCAGCTGGCAGACTTCCGCTGGATTCGCTCGACTCTGGCGGTGACGAATCGTTGGAACGCTCCAAACTCCGGGGTGAGCTTGGTCCGGAAGACGACTCTTCCAGGTCCCCCGTCTCGATGCCCGAGCTAAGGGAGCACGTTGCAGGCGAGCCACCCCAGACCTCTTCACACAGCTCAAAAAACATGTGCACAACACGTCCTTGGCCACTCCGACGCTTCGTGTCCACCGCATGCCTGTACTTTATGCGGATTTGTTTTAGCTTGGCGGCAAGCTGGGCCTTTGTAATGGCCCCCACGCTGTGAGGGAAATCCTTCCCTGTGTCGGTCCTCGGATACTGCGCCTGAAATAAGTTGTCTATATCGCTATACTTTAACTTGCAGGACTCCCAGTCAACATTCTCCTGTATTAATGAAGTTTTGTACTCTAATGTGACCCGAAGTAGAAGTTCTACCTCATCATCAGTCCACGAAAAGACCTCCTTTCTTGCACAAATATCAGCCATCTTCTACCTTGTGTGTTTGTTTGTTTGTTTGTGCCTTACACATCCGGGGGGGATCTTATACTCGCTGCTTTTGGTGGAGGAAGTTACAGCGCCACGTACAGGTTCGGCATATGTACTGCAGCTTTTCCAGCGGTTGGATGTAAACGGAGCCGTCTCGTGGAGCTTGACACAATCCGGTGTATATTGCGTGTGGGCGGAAGCTTTTTTGCGGTTGCGTTTGCGTTACTCCGATGCATTTTGCCGTATGCGTTCCCGTGGAGCCGGGGCCTGAGTGTGCTAGAATTTGAAAATACACAGCCGGAAAAAATCTCCCACTTCCTTACAGAGCCCCTCCACCAACACACACGAACGTGCACATGACCAATGAGGGCACGAGATAAGTTTGTGCACAGATGGAAGGCTGACAGGCAGGTAGGCCATCCAGTTATTTTAGCCGGGCTAAAATGATTGGTCGTGCTTTTTACAGTACTACAGCTTCCACAGATTACATTTTTTTATGGATCTTTTGTCAAAGCACTCAAGATATTCATTGCTATCGGGATGTTAAGAGCATTCCATGGAATATAACAAAAAGTGTATCTCGAGCCGGTTTCTCAAACTTACCTACCCCACCTTTAAGACATTACACGTTGAATTGAATGCTAAATATTGCATCCTATTGTTTTGATAGAACCACATTCTGTTTATTAATTCATGATCAGATCTCAAACAACAAACACACAGCACAGCGGTTAAAATACACATTGTTAAAACATATTATATATTTTTTTTAAGTGGGTGGCCGCATGCTTTTTAAATAAACTCTTTTCATGCTTTATGCATTTCTGTAGTCTTGTTTGTTGTTGTCTTGATATTGTGATATTGATCTTAACACCATTGCCCAGCATTGAATGCAATTTGCTTCCCTAACACCACACTAACAGTACTTTGTTTATTTTCTGTCCCTCCAGAGCTCCCTCAGCAACATGTCTGGAATGAGGATGAGGTTCTCACTGACCAGCAGCTCTGTAGTCAGGAAAGGAACTCCAGTCTGGACCAAGAGGACCCAGAGCCTCCACAGATTAAAGAGGAACAGGAGGAACTTTGCACCAGTCAGGAGGAAGAGCAGCTTGAACTAAAGCAGGAGACTGATGTCTTCATGGTGACTCTTACTGATGAGGAAAGTGTGCACAGCCGACGGACCTGTGCAAAAGAGTCTGTAGGCAAGCCCCAGATAAAGCTGCACAGAACAGGTGTGTAACAACAAATAAAATACTTTCTTATTCTGTGTGACTGGCGAAGCCACACACAGTATAGTATTCAACATACTTATCTCATCTTATTCTCCTTCTTCCGCCACAAATGTTGTCATGCTACTCGTCCGGCAGCGTTGACACTAAACACACAAAAAACACATCAAAACGTTTCGTAATAACCGAGATCGGGTTGCTATGTCTTTTATAAGAGATTCGCCTAGCCGTTTTCACGCAAATTCGCTGAAAACTGCGTTCATTTTCTCCATAGGAATGAATGGGAAATCCATTTGAACAGAGCTCAGAAACACTCCTTTGACCCCATACAGATTCCGCATACTTTAACGTAGAACAATAATTCCAAGTTTAAACGGTTCTCGAGACTATGGACTTTATTAGACAATCTGGATATTTTTGATAGCTAGTACGGTTCTCACGTAGTCGCAGCTTACATTTTGTGGACATTTCACACTGTTTCACATTTTATAATGGGTGTGTATCGCAGCGTCCACACGGCGGCGTGCGTTGAAGCTTACCGGCGGGCATGTCTGAAACTCGACCAACAACCAATCACATGAATCTCCCGACCCGGACACACAAGCACGAGGTTTGATTGGCTAGAGCTTGTACTGGCATATGATTTGATTGGCTGACGCTTCCTTCGAAGCTTCAAAAGTTGAACATTGCTCAACTTTTGAAGCGAGCAAAGCGAAGCGACGGAAACACTATGCAGTTCGGCAAAGCGAGACGTCACCCCATTCAAAGAGAATGGGCAGAAGCGCTGAAGCTTCAACGCACGCCACCGTGTGGACGGGCCGTATGGGAAAGCTCGTTAAGACTTAGAGTGGTGACATCACGACTAAAGGGGAGAGGAGCTGGAAAATGTAGTGGAGTTTTTTTTTCCAACTATTGCTCGGCTGGCCACAATTTTCACTCTTCATACTTTGGTGATCACAATGTAGGGATATTTGTCCGGGCCGCACCGATATGCTCATTTAATCAAACGGACTTGCACATATAGCAAACACGAGAGCCATCAGGTGTTCATCTGGTATCCTAAATACTCTGGGTAGGATATTTAGCTGATTGGAGTTACCGTTTTTTACTTAGAAGCAATAATGCAGCACAATATTGTGAATACATTCTCTGACAGGCTGTCTCTCGTTCACTGGCAGGGCGTTGCCGTGGAAACACTTTGATCTTTGAACACACCTGTCGGTCGTTAGCTAAATCCAGTGGTAATCTAAAGATGTTCAGGAACGATGCAGGAATGTGGTACAAGAATCCAAAAATGTAATAGATAAACAGTTAAAATCGTCAGCTAAAAGTGAGCTACAATTAATGGATATTCTTTGTTGTACCTTAACAATACAACTAATGCTATTAATACTTACTCAGCGGGGGTAATGTTAGCATCGGGACGCGCACCCAAGTTTCAGTCACACAGTCAACATTTCTCAGAATTTTCTAGTTTCCTATCAAGTTCTTACGGTACGTCTACACAGCAGCGTTAAAAAAATCTTGGAGGTGGGCGTATCTGAAGCTTGAGGATTTTTTGCGAGCAACCAATCACATGAATCTCCCGCCCGCGACATACGAAGCAAAAAAAGCCCGAAGTAAACTGGATATAAACTCCCCAAAACAGGCGAAAACCTACCACTGTCTCTGCCACCTCCCTCCATGCCTGGCTCCTCCGGTTTATATCCCGGTAGGTCTGGTCATAAAGCACCGGGTGATTGATTCGCTACCGCTAATTTCTCCTCCATTTTTTGGAATATGAGGAAATGACCTGCGGTATGTCTCTCCCAGCATACACGCCGTTTGATTGGCTAGAGCTTGAACTGTCAGATTTGCGTACACGGGATTTGATTGGCTGACGCTTCCACCTCAGCCTCAAAAGTTGAACATTGTTCAACTTTGAATCCTCAAAATCCCAATATGGTCTAGCTGCGGCCACGGACAGTACACGACACTACACGACACGCCCACTACACGACACGCCCACCTGACACGACACTACGGTGGCTGAGAGACATTACCGTACATGGCAGATTAAAAGCGAATTGACGACACTTATTATTATTGAGATCGTACATGGCAGATTAAAAACGAATTGCAAATGTTATTGTAGCATTTTAAGCAACTATTAGGCAAATAAATTAATAACCTAGTCTATCCGTTTGAGACACAACAGTATAACTTTCAACCCAAATCATTTTGTCAACAAACGGTGGTTTAGTCAACTTTTTTTTAATATATAAAATAGGTATTAATGAGATGATCTATTGATTATGTTTGTCTAACTGCTACACATGTATTTTATACATAAATGTAGATATTTGTGAACATCTAAATATAGTTGTTAAAGGTTTTAAGATATACATTATCACATCATGGGGTCATTAAGGAACAAATTAGGAGGGCCAGTCAGGCCACTAATGAGCTCAATCATTCACATGTATTATTATTACTTTATAAATTAAAAGTACTAGGGGTCTATTACAAAACCTTTGAAGGAATCGCATAAATTAAAATAAATGTATGGCAAGTATGATCAAATTAACATAATGTCAAGATATAGCCAATAGACAATCAACATGCTTTGAATATAAAGGAAGAAGAACAATAAACAGATGAACATTTAGGTTTTATGTGTAAATTGTGAACAAACCATCTTAATACAACTGGCAGTCTAAGACAGCAAACTAAGCTTCTTTAACTGCTGCTAGAACACTGTTTTACCATGGGGTATTTCTAACAAGACCAAAAAGATATACAAGGCTTCCAAAACAGAAGAAACCAACTCAATACAGTATTTTAATTTCCTTCAAAACGACAAAAGCACTAATAAAAACCAAATAACAATAACATAAAGGAAAAGTAATTGAAGTGGTTGCCTGTTGTAAATACCTTGGTATCTGGCTTGATGATTGTCTCTTCTCTAATAAGTCAAAGATATGTTTACTGTATATTATAAAAATGCTTGTCATGTAGGCATACTGGAGATGGGAAGGCTTTAGTCAGTGTTGTAGCTGAGATTCTTACCGTTCCAATGATGTATTAATAATAACTTGGATTTATATAGCGCCTTTCATGAGACCCAAGGTCGCTTTAAAAAGAACAGGAGTAGAAACAAACATAACAAAAGGCAGTTAGACGAACAGTTAGACAGACAACACAAATAGATTTGGGGCCAAAGACCTTGGCAGACTTGAGGGCCCTTTTGAAGGCGTCAAGCGTGGGGATGTTGCAGATCTCCGCACGGAGAGCGTTCCAGAGAGTGGGGGCTGCCATACTGAAGGCTCTGTCCCCGAAGGATCGCAGGTTGGTGCGGGGGGCCAGAGTCTGAAGACCGCAGGTTCCGGGGTAGGGCATGTGGGAATTGTATTGATTTGATACAAGCAAGCCAGTGTTTCATTGTGTCCGAGTCCAATTTGTTGAGCTCTGGGCGTGCTCCATCACGGAGTGTTGTGTTGTTTGTCTATAGGTGAATAAAATAGAATACAATTTCAGTGACTTTAATATTGGAAATAGTTAACTCCTTAAACAAGCAGCAATGGACTGGCCTGTATAATCCTATGGGACAAAGCTGGTCATACTTCCTCACTTTCAGAAGGTAACCCTTTAACTGCCAGCGCCACCATTTGGTAGAGCACATTTTGTGTCTTGATATCTTGTTGAAAAAAAAAAAAGTTTAACTCCATCTGATTCAGCCAGCTCTACCTTTTTGGTTGACATGTTATGCACAAAACAACCTCTAGATGTCACTGTGGTTCGAACAGAAAGCCCTTCAGCTAGTTTAAATCTTTATATATACGGTCTATGGTTTAAATGTCAGGCCTACAGCATGGCCACAAACCCCATCTAAAAACAGAGGCCTGATTGCATCCACCTGGGTTACTTGGCTCTACCCAATAACTATATATCATTTAACTTTAAACCACACTTAAAATAATAATATAATTATACATATGTGTATGTCAGTATAGCAGCTAATACATGTTTTTTTTTTTAAAACATTCAAATGTGAAAGACACCTTCAATGAATATTTAAAATCAGATTCTTGTAAAAATGCGAGTACATGCATTGTTCCATCTGTCAAGCTAAAATATATACATATATCTTAGCTCTTAGCTTGACATGCTAACTGAACGAGCATGTTCAGTTAGCATATATGCTAACTGAACGTCGAGCATGTCAAGCTAAGAGCTAAGATATATATATATATTTATATGTATTCCATTCCTTTACATTTAATATTTAAAATACAAATTAGCTAAATAAACACAATTACACTGCGCTAAACAGCCACATCGACAAACAAACGAGAACCTAAATAGTATGTAATTATATCTAAAACCACAATACGTTAATTACCTGTACTCGGTGCGCCATATTGTTTGTCTGTTCTCTGAACCTCATGTCTCTTTAAATATCCTTGCATCAGCGTCAGTGTCGTCAATTCGCTTTTAATCTGCCATGTATGGTAATGTCTCTCAGCCACCGTAGTGTCGTGTCAGGTGGGCGTGTCGTGTAGTGGGCGTGTCGTGTAGTGTCGTGTACTGGCCGCGGCCGCAGCTAGACCCTTCTCCAAAATCCTGAAAATCTCCGCTCGCCTGCCCACAATCCATTTCGGCGAAAAGTGAGGGAAAGTGACGTCACCCCATTCAAAGTGAATGGGCAGAAGCGTTTCAAGATTTTTTTAACGCTGCTGTGTAGACGTACCGTTACTGTGGGGGAAACTTCTGTAGCAATGGAGAGTCAGGACTCAAAGAGACACGAGGAGAGCTGGAGTTTTGATGGTAAACACTGACGGTTTATTTGGAGCTTCGGCCGGAGAATTGACAAGACATGTCACGGGCCACGAGTTGACCAAACGGTTGAGATGCCACATCAATTTTGAAGAACCCTCTTGTAGTTCCAGGTTTTAACTAGTTCAGAGTGTAATAATCAACATTCTTCAATAGATAGACTAAACAGCTGAGGACACTGAATCACA